AAATAAAACTTGCCATAATGATATAATACTATCCCCTATATTTGCTATACGGGTACGTGACGCCAAACAGGGTATGGTTTTCAGCGATTCTACTCTGGAACAGGGTATATAAAATCGCGCTCGCACTGGGACATAGTCTCCCCCACAGCCGCTTTCAGTGTCGTCACGCAACGCTTTGAAAGACGACACTGAAAGCGGCTGTGGGGGAGACTATCTGGGACAGGGTATCTTAATTTTCGCAATACGGGAACAGGGTATGAATTTCAGTGATTTTACTTTACTCAGGGTTCAGAGGGCTCAGCGGCACATCCCTACCCTAAACGGGCAAGATTAACCCCCCCCCCCCCCCCCCGGGTGAGAATGCAAGTTCAGTTAAATCTCTTGTAAGTCAACTGCTCACAGGAAGTTTTTAAAATTGAGAAAGCAAAGCAAGTTGTTTTCAGATGAAGATTGCTTTAACCTCACTGTTAAAGCTGAATGTAAGCAAAAAATGTAGACACCTTTTCTAAAAAAAAAAATGCTATGGAATGCTATGGAATGCTTGAATTGATGAAAATTGTTTATTAAAAAATATTAAAAACAAAAAAGGAACAAAGGAACAAGGACTAAAAGAAAAGGAGAAGAAAAAATACTCTGAAAATGGTGGGCATCGAACTTACGTCCACCAACTTTAATTAGGTAATTAATTCCAAATTACAGAAGAAAAAAACTAGTGCCTTCATGCCATACCCCTAGACATCCGCTGGGTCATCGTATGGACTTCGGACATGACGGCGATTAAGTCCCTCTGCCCTTGGGTGTACGGATTACGCAGGTTAGTGTTCTAGCCGAAGCATTAGGGGAGAGACTAGCCGGCCCCCAGACCATATCTACAGCTAATCCCTTGCACTCTGCCACGCACTGGCACGTAGTCTAAACAACTCTGTTTTTGGATTCTTTTTTTTTTTTTTTTTGTTGAAGATACTTGAATAGATATACACATAGATTAGATTAGCAATAGATTGGCACCCATTTTCCGTTGTTTCTGACTGCTTTTAATGTTTTTATTCTTTTGGCGTAGCTAGTTCAGGTAAGGGATACTTGTAAATCAGGTTTAGGGGATGCTTAAAAATCAGGTTAAAAATCATCGGGAAGGGGAGGGGGGGGGGCAATTTTTGTGCTGAAAACAAACTTTTGTAAGTGCACCCTCTCTATATACGCTAGTGCCTTGTTCAGTTAAGGGATACTTTTAAATCAGGTTGCGTGATCTAACGCCTTGGTCAGCTGAGGGATACTTTAACATCAGGTTATAGAATACTCCTACTTCAAGAAAGGGATACTCCTAAATGAGTTTCAAGTAAGGGATACTCCTTGTAGTATATTGACACAGGATGGAAGTGGATTGAAACTTGTTTATTCTAAACTCAACAGCTACACGCCATCTTGTCAACCTCCCTTTTATGCATATTAATATACTACATACTAATGACATCACATCCACTACAAATGTTGACTCGCCTTTCCCTTGAAAATACTCAAATTCTCTCCAGGAATGAATGAGAAGCTATCGGAAAAATTACGACTCGCTAAATATGTAATGTTTTTTACTCTTCCAATATTTTGACTGTTTGCATGAAGAAAGCCGCACATAATTATGGCTGAAGACACACTTCAATACAGAGAAAACGTAACTGTCCCTTCCACAAATGCATTTAAATTCAAGTCAGAATGAAATGTTCATGAAATATGGAAAAACTTCAAGAACGGATGAGCCTATTAAAAATAAACAAAATGAAATATATCTCTTCTTCATTTAAGTGTCTAGTCGTCCTAGCGCTTCCGCACTAATTGGGGACACTTCTCGCTAACACGCACTACCACTACATGTTTTATGCACACAACGCTCGACTCACATCATGTTGATTTTTACGGAGGGAGGAAACTGGAGAACCCGGAGAAAACCCTCGTATCATAGGAGAGAACAACACATCAAACAAACTCAATTCACATATGGTGTCCACAGGGCTCGAACCAGTGACCCGAACATTAGGAACCACAGCGGTGAAAGAAGAAGTGTTAGGAGCGTACGCCACCCATGCTACCGCGTACGCCACCCATGCTACCCGTCAACAAATAAAATCACTGACTTCACCGAATTGCTGGATTCAGTCCAGACTTGACGATGTATAAGCTTAGCGAAATGACATATTTACTTGATAAAATCAATAAGCTTATCACGCTACTCTTCAGTTCGTTGTTTGACCTCTTTTTTGTTTCAAAGTCGTACGAAATCACAACTTGTGTAAGCCTAGAATGAAAATGTGTAGCGTGAATCGGCAAAATTGTGGCTTAGGTTAAATATTGGGAATGGCCAATTCCTAACGATGTTAGACTAAAGTAGGTTATCTTTATAGAATTATTTTATGTAGGTTTTTCAGCGCTTTTCATTCAGAAATATATTTTTTCATAACGAAGATTTGGATGATTTATAAGAACATAAGCGGGTTCAAAATAAAAATAAAATCATATTTTTTGTACAGCATGAGAAGCGGTTTTGAGAGAGTAGGTTTTCTTACTAGCTGCAATTTAACAATAATAATAAACAAAAAATAATAATAATAAACAAAAAATAATAATAATAAACAAAACTATCAAGTATAGTTAAATACGTTGTTTGGTTGATTGGTGTCATACGTAAGTGCTGTGAGTGATGAGTGAGTAATGTTTGATATCAACACATTTTTTATGATATTTTGTATTAACGTAATGAAATGCATTCCTTTCGAAGTCTTGAATCCCTCACGTTCGTCTGGAAAACCACATCCTAGCGCTGATTGAACTTGATGAATACGTCTTTGTCAGGAACAAGCAGTCCGCGTGTCATTGGTTCAACGTCATTCATGGATTCAAGTTGAAATAGCTGCATGATCTGAAACATTAAATCAGTGTTACTTCACAACTACTAAACTACTAATTTATTGGGGCCACCAAGACCAGTTAGACAGCGAGAGTATATCAAGATATTTAGTACCATTGCATCCAGTAATACCATGATAAAAAAAAAAAAAGAGTCGTGACAAGCTTATTTGTTTTAGCTCTAGTGTTGTTCAACTTAGGTGTGGTCTTTTGAAAAAATCTAGAAAATATTGAGTAGCTAAACTGTTTTATAAAATAACTGTTATAAATGTCACGTTCTGAATGGTTTGGAGCAAATTACACGCGCGCGCACTTTCCGTTACGTCATTCCTATCTAAAATAAAGGTTATTGTAATAAGTATTTTATAAAAGAAATAAAAAACTTGCTTGCTGTGCTGTGTGCCGTTTTAAAGCACTCGGAGATTGGCAGAACGCTCGAGGAGTGTCCAGAAGCACTCTGCTACGCGTCGTGCTACTCCTAACACTTCTCTCGTGTTCTGCCAACCCCCGCGTGCTTTATAATTGCGCGCATTTTCTATTTCTTCAGTAGTACTTAAGGTGACTGCCTACTTTTGAACGTTGGATTTGTGCCCACGATATGCGCGCGCTCAGAAACCCAGCTGAATAATCTAAACGATCTTATTGAGAAACCATATACGTTTTCAATTTCAATCAAGATTACTAAACCCTCAAAAATTAATTTTTCACGAAACACACGAAAAATATTTTTGTTAGGAATTTTTGTTTGAATTTATAATATTTTTTGAGGGCACTGAAATAGGGCAAAATATAACAAATTAATGCATTTCTTTGTCTTTTTGTCACGAATATCCATGCAGTATTTTAGAATGATCAACTAGGCGGAAGTGGAAATGGGTTCATTTACACCGCTTATCTTTGGGACCAATGGTGGTATGGGCAAGGAAAGCCAAATTTTCCTAAAAACTCTAGCGGATAAACTGGCGAACAAAACTGGACAAAGCTAT